TTAAAAAATCCACATAATCATCTTTTACATGATGGATTTTCCACCTAATATTGAAAATGTAAAATAGTCAATCACTTAGCAAAAAAATTAGCTACATCAACATTAAACTGACGAAAGACGAAATTGAAAATTGAAGTTAAAGGACGTTTTTGGTACTTTCTGAAGTTTAAGGATGTATTGGTTCAAAAATAAAAGTCGAGGGACCAATTCAAATATTTAACCTAAAAATATATGTTAGCCACGTCAGCATTACTATTCAATTAATCCTTAAATAAAAAAATTGAAAGTTGACATCCTTAAATAGAAAATGTTGAAAGTTGATATCTTTATTTAGAAACTGACAAAGTTAATATCCTTATTTAAAAAAAATTGAAAATTAACATTCTTATTTAAAAAAAAATTAAAAATTGACATTTTTATTTAAAAACTGACAAAATTAACATTCTTAAATAAAAAAAAGTGCAAAGTTTAAATCCTTATTTGCACCTTTACTCTCGAATTTCAATTGACCTCCAGAAGTTTGGACGTGTGGATGTAAACTTTGATTTTTTTTTTTTTTTGAATTTAGGATCTGTTTGAAATAGTTATGTAATGGTTTTTTTTTTTTCTTGATTGCATAATAGAAAGCAACTATGTGACTCAAACTCATCCATCTATTTCATTTTAGTCGCATGCCATATAATTTAAACTTAGGATCTTTTATTTATAGCGAAAGAAGATAATTACTAAATTATTTAAAACATTAACATGTAATATTAACATGATTGTGCAAAATATATATATATATATATATATATCTATATTGCGGTGGTTGTAAATATTATTGCTTTGTTGTGATAAAACAAAAATAGAAAAATATTTTTTGTATCGGTTGATCAAAAAAATACAAGAATGTTTATAAAATTATTTAAATATTTTTAATAAATTAATCATGTTAATTCATATTTAAGTTTTTTCCATAGACTTTTCTCAAGTTTACTTTTTACAAAACGAAATATAGGAATATTTATAAAATTATTTAAATATTTTTAATAAATTAATCATGTTAATTCATATTTAAGTTTTTTCCATAGACTTTTCTCAAGTTTTCTTTTTGCAATACGTAAAAAACCTAGGTTAATATTAATTTATAATTATTTGTGACTTGTCAAAGTGATATTGTTTTTTGCTACGTTTTGTAGCACAACAATCAAATAGCTGAATTTGAAAAATAGAAAAGCCAAATCAATCGTCTTATTAAGAATTTAAATCTCTGCATTAGAGATTTTCAAATACAAATACTAAATAAATAAAAAAATTTATAATAACTTGTTAAAGAATTGTGAGTACGTCAATTCCTCATTCAACACCAAAACTTACTGACAAAGTGTTTGGTTGACTATAATATTTAAAAAATAATAATAATTAGTATATTTTTAAGTTTAATACATCTATCAACATTAAATGGTTTACTAATTAAAATCTATACTTGAAGTTTTAATCGTTTTAAATTTAAATTTAAAAATAATAATTTTTTAATAAATATATTATAAAATATATTGAATCAGATAATATATTAATTATTATCTTTTA